AAAACAAAGAATTTTTTTTATTTCCTTTACGGAATCAAAGGAAAAAAGCCAGATGGAAACATGCTTCTTCATGGAAACAGACATATTGATACTAAATTTCATATTGAAAAATAAACATTCAAGAATAGCCAGGAAAACACTAGAAAAGACAATCTACAGGGATAGAAAGCTCTACAAACATTACATATACAAAAAAAGCCTTTAAATGAAAACACTGTGTGTACTACTGCATGAAAAAACAGAAAAACCAGCAATTGAATAGAAAATCCAGAAATAGTTCCAACTACATATAAAACTTCAATATATGATAAAAGTGGCATCTCAAATCACTGAGGCAAAGGTAGCACCTTTCATAAAGGTGCTTAGGAAAATTGGTTAGTCATTTTGTGGGGGGAAAAAAGAGTTAAAATAGCAGGTCTGGTTGCTTTTTCCTTCTTGTCTTCAAGGGAACCAAAAACTGTGATTGACCCTTGGTCAACCCCTGGGAATAGGGCCCTTAGAATGTTTTGTCAGTGATTGATGATTTTGCTATGTACACCTGAGGCAATGAACCATGCCGTCCCAGCTTGTCAGACTGCTTTGCACAAACATCAAGACTAATGATTTGCATGTACCTGACTTCACTGTTGGGGACCTGAACTTAGGTTGACATGGTTTGCTGTGTAGCAGAATATGCCTCCCATATGACCAGTCCTCCCCTCCCTCAAAGACACAGATCCTAAAACTCAAACAAGATTTTCTGGGCAGAGACACACCATGTGTGTCTCTGTAGTCTGATGCTGGAGAGAAAATATGTCCTGTGTGGATGAAAAAAGGTGCAGAGCCACTGTTGGCCTCTCTGGACTCGGCCAATGTTCACCTTTTTCCTTCTGCTTTGGAGCTGAATCTTTTGCTGTAATCAACCTTAGCCTTGAGTGCAAACTGCAATTGAGTCTTCCAATTTTAGTATATGCGCTATAGAAGTCAGCACTGCAATTGAGGGTTTTTTTTTAAATTTATTGATTTTGTGAGAGAGAGAGGGAGAGAGAGATTGATTAATTTGTTGTTCTGCTTATTGGTGCATTCATTGGTTGCTTCTTGTGTGTGCCCTGACAGGAGACTGAACCTGCAACCTTGGCGAATGGGGACAACACTCTAAGCAGCTGAGCTGCCCAGTTAGGCCCTGCAATTGAGTCTTGTGAATACTTTTAGTGAACTGCCAAACTTGAGGAGGTTGTGAGACTTTTTGAGACACTTTTGAAAAAGATAAAAAGTTATATCCATGTCTCAGACCATTGTCAAAGAAAGAGTGTCCAGCCTAAAAAAAAAGTCTTATCAAGAGTTTGAGCCAAACTGATGACAATTGCCGGGAAGCAAAATCTCAATCGATTGAGAAAATGCTCCCGAGAATGGCAGTTTTGCAGCTTATTAGCATCAAAGAAGGAGATATACGGAGGGTTACGTGAAATTCACTGGTGGTAGATTAGGGAGGCAGGAGAAAGCAAAGCAGGGAAATTTCTGAGACTGGGTAAAAAGTAAAACAAAGTGACACATACTTCTTTTACATTGGTGGGTACAGGACAGTTAATAATGAACATTAACAGCAAATCACAGAGATGGTATGCAGACAACAAGATAATGATGTGTGATCTGTCTCCTGCTTTGGTGCCAGTGGTTGAGCCTTTGAGGGGTCTGAAAAAGAAAATTACTCGGACATTTCAAAGGTATGTTATCTTAGATGCACAAAGACAACAGACAATTTCAAAGATAAAAATGGACTTTTGTCAAAGCCTACCCTGTGACTACCCACCATGACCTGCTTTTAGCTAGGAATTTTTATGTTCAGACCACTTTGGTCTGGGTTTGCAAGGCCTGCCAGGTGGGCTAAGCTTGTCAGGTTTAGTATGTGGCTCCTTTTTTGTCCATTATGTTCATAAGATTAGAGAGCTAATTGTAAACTATACAGGCTCTAGAAGAAAACATGAGTGAATTATTCTTCAGCTTGGGTGAAAGGCTTTCTACCTATGATTCAAAATCATGTTGCAATAAAATAAAGATGGACAAGTTTGACTTCATAAAAAAAAAATTCTTCCTGGTACCCAAATTATAAACGGTATGTAAACACAATGAACAAACTGGAAGAAAATATTTGCAACACATATCTGATAAAGAACCTAACATATAAAAAAACTTAAAAATCATGGGAAAAAGATAGAACTTAATCCACCAAAGTAATAATATAAAAATAGTTCCAAAATATGAAAAGATGTTCAAACTCTCTGATAAGAGAAAATATAAATTAAAATGTCACTGATATTACAGGGTTCTGGTCAAGATAAAAAGCACTTTGCTCTGGCCCAGGCTGGTATGGCTCAGTTGGAGAGTTGTCCTATAACCAGAAGGTTTCGGGTTCGATTCCCAATCAGGGTGTTACCGGACAGTGGCCCGGTCCTGAGTGGGTCTGTCTAGGGCCAGTTGTAGTGTGTGGGTCCTTGTCTTTGTGTAGGAGAGATTTCACAACATGGATCCAGGCTCCTATGAGGATACATTAAAGCTGGGGACAGTAAAACAAGGAAGGGCTTAGCATAGAAGCAACAGGAGAGCCTGGGCTGGGTTGCCTTAACTCACTGGGAAGTCAGAGAAAAGAGGGCCTTGGGGACAGGTTCTGGGGATCAGCCTGGGACAAGCTGCCAGATGCCAATTGCCCTAGAGTTTAGGAGCCACGTGCCTGTGGGGAAAGAAGTGGGAGAAGAAGAAAAGGGAATGGCACCACCTAACCCAGAGGGAGAGCACACAGTCCATGAGTGTTTTGTCTCTAGGCTTTTATCTTTCTTGCAGGTGGGAATCTTAGGGGAGGTCTCAAGGGAGATTTTCAAGGGAGAGTTTTAGAATATTCATCAGTTCTCCAGGCATGCCCTTTCAGGGTCATGGTCTCACTGATTGGTCAGTGACAGGGCAGAAAATCTTAGGTCACTGCAGTTGGTTCTGGCATTGCCCACCTGATTTTGCTGCTTTTCTGGGCCTGGAGCTGAAATACGACTGAGGCCTAGATGTCACCTCCAGGAGGAAAGGTTACTACCCTGGGGTCAAGATCCTGGGTTTCCCAGTTTTGCCCCCTGCCAGGCACTTCGGCCCTGGTGACCATCTGCACCTGGCTCTAAGTTGCTTGGCCAGTTTGTTCAGCTGTCTGAGTTTTCCTATGCCACTTGCCAAGGAATTTTCCTAGCTTCTTACTATCCTGTCTCAAATCCAAGCTGCAATGGAGAGAGGATGGCAGTGGAAGCCAGGCAGTCACCTACAGCTCTGAGAGGAGAGGTCTGGTCTTGAGGGTGAGAGATCCCCATTGCTGTTTTCACTGCATAGCCTCCGGCCTCTTGGTCCCAAGGAAATTGCAGTTGCAGTGAGTGCAATGCACAGCAAGGAAATTAAATCCTGCTCCCACCCTTGCTGGGGCAGCTCAGTGGATTGAGCTCAGGCCTGGGAACCAAGGAGCTGCTGGTTCAATTCCCAGTCAGGGCACATGCCTGGGTTGCTGGCCAGGTCCCCAGTAGGGGGCGAATGAGAGGCAACCACACATTGATGTTTCTTTCCCTCTCTCCTTCCCTTCCCCTCTCTCTAAAAATAAACTCTTTAAAAATAAATAAATAAAACAAACCCTGCTCCCTTTTCTAGCCAGAGGACCAGAAAGGGAAGTGTTCAGAGAGTAAGGAGATTAATAAAATGGTCCCATAAAGTTATGTATGAACTTCTGAGTATTCTCCCTTTCGCCTACTTAAGCAGGCCTAGAAGCAGTGACATACCTAGCCCCCTATCCTTGGTTCCTAATACCACTAAAAGAAACCTGTTTTCCTTGGAGAAAGGACTAATTCCAGCTCTGAAGCCAGGAGAATGCAGGAGGACCTAGAACCTCCTATTGTGCTAAAAAGTAAGGAAGTGCTCAAATAGTGGGCCACGTCAACGTAACATGGAGGCCAGTTTGAAGGTGCTCTCAACGGCTACATCTGGGACAAAATGAACATGAAATAAAAATGATAACAACAACAGATAGCAATTTATTGAATGTATTAAGAATCTATCAGTCCAAGACGATATGACTAAATAAATGGGGAGAAGAAAAAGCTCTTTTTTAATAAGCCAACTAGTACATGTAAAAGAATGATGGAATTAGAAAATCACCATTTGGTGACTATCATATTAATAATTGATACAGACAAGAATCAACAATGGATGATAAAACTAGTGAGCAGAAGTTTGAGGGGTAACAGGGTATTTGCAGTTTCAAAATCTCTATCATATGCTTCCTGTGGAGAAACCCAGTACTCACTGCTCTAAGCAAATTATCCAAGTTCGGGTGGATTGTAGCAGGAGTAATCCATAGATAGCCACACACTCCCTGAAATGACGCACTAGGAACTCAGCATTACTTCTGTAATATTTTTGCCAGAGATGCATAAGCTGAATCTACCCATTAGGAAACATGAGGCAAACTCAAATTGAAGAGCATTCTACAAATTAACTGGCCTGAACTCTTCAAAAATATCAGTTATAAATTTTTTTTAAAAAGACTCAAAATAAAGGGGACTATAGAGACACGACGTCTGCGCACAGTGACTAAGCCTGGATTTTCTTTTGCTATAAAGGATATTGTTGGGACAAGTGGAAAAATCTGAATAAGGTCTATAGACAATTGCTGAGACAATATATAGTATTGTATCACTTTTATTGATTTTGGTAATTATAAACACACACTAAAGTATTTGGTAGTAAAGGGAAATGTCTGCAAATTACTCTTAGCAGTTGAGAAAAATTTCTTCCTGAACTGCTAAGAGTAAGTTGAGTTGAACTAAGTCTGAATTCTACATAGGGTGAGGCAAAAGCAGGTTCACAGCGCTGGCTGCTGTAGCTCAGTGGATTGAGTGCGAGCTTGTGGATGAAAAGGTCACTGGTTCAGTTCCCAGTCAGGACACCTGCCTGGTTTGCTGGCCAGGTCCCCAGTTGTGGATATTTGAGAGGCAGCAGATCAATGTATCTCTCACACATCGATGTTTCTCTCCCTCTTTGTCCTTCCTTTCCCCTCTCTGAAAATAAATAAAATCTTTTTTAAAAAAAGTAGGTTTACAGTTGTGAGCACACGTTTATTCTTGTATTATTATTCACTAGTTACTGTATTATTTTCAATACGAGTAACTGCAAACCTACTTTTGCCCCACCCTGTATGCATATCTACATAGAGATAGCTGTTCATCTATCTGTATCTATCTGTCTACAGAGACACAAGGATAAAGCATATGAAGTAAATGTTAACATTGGGGAATGTGGGTGAAGGGCATCTGGGAATTCTTTGTACTGTTCTTGCAACTTCCTTGTAAATCTAGAATTGTCCATTAACAGTAGAGTTTCCTCAGAAAATTAAAAATGGAGTGGCCTTTTGACCCAGCAATCCCACTTCTGGGAATACATCCTAGGAATCCCAAAATGCCAATTTGAAAGAAAATACGCACCCATATGTTCATAGCAGTGTTATGTGCAACAGCTAAGGTCTGGAGACCCGAGTGCCCGTCAGTGGATGAGTAGATGAGAAAGCCGGTAACAATGGAATACTTGGCTGTGAAAAAAGGACATCTCTTTTGCAACAGCACGAATGGACCCAGAGGGTCCATGCTGAGTGAAATAAATCAGTCAGAGAAAGACAAATGCCACATAATTTCACTTACATTTGCAATCTAATGAATAAAACAAAATGACAAACAGGATGGAGACAGAGGCATAGAGGCATGGGGCAGACTGACAGCTGTCAGAGGGGAGTGGGGAGGGAGGAACTGGATAAAGGGAGTGGTGGCATTGGCCAAAGAAGATACAAAATGTGAATGACTCATGGACAGGAACAGCACTGAAGTGGTGGCCAGAGGGAGCAGGGGCAGGGGTGGGGGCTGGGCCTGGGTAAAGGTGGGCAAGGAGTGGGGAGTGGGGACATCTGTAATGGCGTCAATAAGAAAGCTAAAAAAATAAATACAAATGAAATATTTTTAAAAGATTTTATTTATTTTATTTTTAGAGAGGGAAGGGAGGGAGAAAGAGAGAGAGAGAAACATCAATGTGCAGTTGCTGGGGGCTGTGGCCTGCAACCCAGGCATGTGCCCTGACTGGGAATTGAACCTGCGACACTTTGGTTTGCAGCCCGCACTCAATCCACTGAGCTACACCAGCCAAGTAGAAATAAAATTTTTAAAAAATAAATCAAATCTGCAAGAAAAAAAGTGAGGTAGAGGAAGTAGTGGCAACATAGAAGAATCAAGGAGTGGTCAGAGGAAGCGAGAGGAAACAGGAAAACGTTTGAATCCCAAAATTTAGGAGAAAAGGTAATTTCAAGAACATGGGAGCAACTGGTCCCTGGATTTGTCTTAAATATGGGTGAACCTTAGCATTATGTTCTGGAACGTCTTCATTCTTTGTCCTGTGCGTTTTCTCGGGCAATCTTCGTCACTCATATGACGTCGACTACCACCTACATGATTTCCAAATCTCCATATCCTGCCCAAGTTTTTCTTCTTACCTCTAAACCGTATGTGCTCTGTCTACCGCCAGCTCCCCTTGAATGACCTCCAGGGACCTCAAATTCAACATGTCAAAAACGAAATTCATGGAGTTCCTCCCTGACCAGGTTGAATTCTCAGGGAATTCTATCACCATCTTCTCAGTCACCCAAGCCAAATGCCTAGAAATCACATTTTCCACAATGTTTGCCCTCATCTCCCAAATTTAAATATGAAATCCTGTGTCTTCTAAACCTATGTATCTTATGAATTTATTCACATTTCCTCCTCCAATTATACTTCTAATATTAATGAGCCCCATCTAGTTTTCACTTGAAGATCAATTTAAAATTAATTAGCCCTGGCCAGGTGGCTCAGTTGGTTGGAACATCGTCCCACACCCCAAAACATTGTGGGTTCAATTTCTAGGCAAGGCATGCATATGCCTAGGTTTTAGTCCAATCCCTGGTTGGGGTGCATTTGGGAGGGTAGTGAATTGATTTTTCTTTCTCACATTGATGTTTCTCTCTCTGAAGTCAATGAATATGTCCTCTTGTGAGGATTAAAACGTTTTTTTTTTTTTAAATTAAACTAAAACCAAGCAGCAGTGTGAGTTTAAACTTATGAGTTAAACACGATGGTAAACTCACACTGGTGGCTGGTCCCCCAGCACTCCCGATCCAAGAGATGGCACAGAAATCAACATCTCTGTAGAAGCTGTGAAAACCCTGAGTCCACGTGTGAGCTCCTGTGCGCGTGTGGGCTGGCAAGCACGGAGTGATGAAGGCCCGGTGGTGACACCACTGACTTCCTCCTTCGGGGCCTCCCTCATCTTCTCTCAATGTTGGGCTTTCCACTCCCCCTGGGTATATAAATATATCTGTCAGCCAAGACAAATGATAGCCCCAGAGAAATACAAGTTCACAGAGAAAAGTAATGAGATGTAGAGGAGGGTGCAACTCCGATTAAAGTAAGAAAGTGAACAACAACCTTGACTAGATGAAACATCAAACGCATCAGATGGAAAGGTAACTGAAGATAATACATAGCCTCAAAGGGAAAAAAAAAGAGTTCATATTGGTTACATCAGGGTTTGTCAATCTTGGCACTGCTGACGTTTGGGGACAGACAGTACTTTGCTGTGGTGGGGCTGGGGCTGTTCTGTGCATCGTGGATGTTTAGCAGCTCCCGTTAGATGCCGGCAGTGCCACCTTGAGTTGTGACAAGCCAAAAGTGTCTCCAGACATTGTCAGACGTCCCCCTAGGGTAGGTGAGGAAGGGGGGGACGATTACTCACCTGGATTACTTGAAGCAGGAACAATAAATAATGAAGAATTTAAAATGCTGTGAAAAATATAACCGTTGAAATCAATCAATCAATAAATGGGCTACATAGCAATATGGATCTAGGGCAATCACGAATTACTGAACTGAAAACTCAGGTTGAGGAACTTTTCTAGGCGGTATCAGGGAAAGGCAAAGATGAAAATATTAAAGCTAACAGACCTAGAGGATGTAAGTGGAAGTATAACACCTGTATCGTAAGAATCCAAGCGGATGGGAAAAATAAAGAGGAGGATACATTTGTAGGTATAATACTTGTTAAATGCCCAAACTGAAAAAAAAAAAAAAAATCTCAGATTGAATGAGTACATAAAGGACAAATCATGATAGACAGAAAAAAATCTAATTCTAGATAAATTAGAATGAAATGAAAGAACTTTAAAGAGAAAGAGAAACATCCAGATAGAAAAAACAGCTTTTCTATGAAGGAACAAGATACAGATTGACACTAGACCTTTAAAATATCCCAAAAAGAGAATAGGAGGAGGGGTTACAAAGGAAGGGGAAAAGAAAATTAAAACTTTATAGTGGGCCTTGCAGGCATTCAGGAAACTTATCTCTATGGTAGTGTAACAGAAAAACCACTCTATTCGGGGTAAGTAACCTCAGCTGAAGTTGCAACCCAGACTCTTTGGAAAGGGACAAAGCCAGGTAAAAGGTGGGCCCCACAGAAAGTGCGTAGCTCTAATTTTGTGAGTCCAGTGCCTGGGCTTCAGTTGTACAGGTGGATCCAGTTTCCAGGACCTGATTCAAGACACTAATGTATGTACTAGAATGTTAATGTACTATTCATAATGGGGTAAAACATCTATCCAGGGAAGAGTAAACACATCTGGGCTTGTTATTCATGGCACCTCTCATCTAAGTACTCAATTAATTACCAACTAATTATCAACTAGTGAATGCTGCGTCAGAAGAATTAGTTGAATGATCCCCAGGAAAAGGATGAATTCTCCCCACCCAACAAGCATGTACCATCAGATTCAGGTTCTCTCTCTCCTCCTCAGTGCTAAGTAAATACTAACTGATTCTTACTCATTTCCCCCCTCCCCATGTTTCACGATCTTACTTTGCATATCCAATTAGATTAGTTTTATATTTCGGTCTTGAGATCACCATCAACATCATGATGGGATTTTCTTAACATTTACAGGACACCTTTTAAGATGAAGTAAAAATAACCAATAGCTATTTATTATGTGTTAGGTATCATGTGTACATTATCTCAGTTAATCTTCACACAACTTTATCAGGTAGGCGCTACTATTTTCCCTGCTTTGGAAATTGGGCAACTGGGGCAGAGTGAATTAAGTAACTTGCTCTATCTCATTCACCTAGGAAATCAGGGTCAAAGGAAGAAAGTAAGACCTCAAAACCAACAACCTGCATAACTGTGCTGGATCTTCCCAACGTCTCAGGTTCACCTTTCTTGCCTGCACCTATCCCACAGAGCTGTGAGGTTCAAGTGAGATAATGCAAAATGGTCTATACTATTTTAAGATATACAAGTAAAACACAAAAACTTTATAATTTGCAATAACGAAAACAGCACAAATACAGAATGTACACATTTCAGTCACAAAATTTAAGTACTTGAAAATTTTTCATTGAAATATAACATGCTGTAGAGTTCACAAAGCTTAGGTGGTGCAGCCCGATTTTTACTCAAGTAAAACCTACGAAAGAAGGAAAAAAGTAACCACCAACCAGATCAAAATATAAAACATTACCAGTATTTCAGAAGCCTCCCTCTGGCAAGTGGTATATACTTTTGAGTTAAAGATCTGGATTCAAACCTTTTACTTTCTTCTTGTGTGACTTTGGCAAGTTACCTAATCTCTTTGGATCTCGGTTGAGCCATTTGTAAATTGAGGATAATAGTACCGTATAAAATTGTTGAATTAAAGATCATATAATGTAGAACACCCATCATGCGCCTGAATAGAGCTGGTCTGCAATAAATGGTAATTATTTTCAGGCAAATTCAGTAGGCGCTCACCAACTTCAACTTCCTGCCTTTTGAAAGTTGCTCTTGCTCGAATCCTTTCTCTCCCTCTTTCTCGCTCCTCCTACTACCGTAAATTGCCTTCCCTAGATGTCGTAAAAAGCTCCTCCCCACCCTCCATGTGGCGAAAACTCAATCACACTTGACGGCACAAGGTGGCTCAGCCGCAAGATGGCGGCGCTGGCGGAGGAGCAGACGGAGGTGGCGGTCAAGCTAGAGGCGGAGGGACCGCCAACACTGCTACCTCCACAAGCAGGGGACGGCGCTGGCGAAGGTGGCGGCGGCACTACCAACAACGGCCCCAACGGCGGCGGCGGGAACGCTGCGGCGGCGTCGTCTGCCGGCGGGGATGGTGGGACCCCCAAACCTTCCGTGGCTGTCCCTGCTGTTGCCCCGGCGGGGGCGGCCCCGGTGCCCGCCGCTGCTTCGGAGGCCGGCGCTCCCCAAGACCGACCGACTCTGCTGGCGGTGCTACAGTTCTTACGGCAGAGCAACCTCCACGAGGCCGAAGAGGCATTGCGCCGTGAGGCCCGGCTGTTGGAAGACACAGCCGGCTCCGGAGCCCCGGGAGAGGCGGACGGCGCCGGCGCCGAGGCGGCTAGCGCGCTTCTCAGCCGGGTCGCAGCCTCGGCTCCCGGCCCTGCAGCCCCCGACCCTCCGGGCACGGGCACTTTGGGCGCTGCCGTCTCGGGATCAGCAACAGGTCCTGCGGCTCCGGGAAAAGGTGAGCCTGCTGATCCCGGGGAGGCAACGCCGGCACCAGAGGAAACAAGCCGGGAATGCCGGGGCTGGCAGGCCTGCACCTCTGCGGGCTTGTTTTGAATTTCCTGGGCCCGCCTCTAGGGCCACATGCCCGCCCCTTTCTCTGGTGCGCCGGCTGCGCAGTCAAACCCTCTTGGTAGAGCTGTCAGTTCCAGCGAGAGGCTGAGGAGAGCTGTTGAGCTCAGCGATGTACGGGGAAGGTGGGCGCGGAGAGCGGGGATCTTCAGGGTTTTGGTCCCTTTCCCCTTTCTTGGGCTCCGGAGCCTTGCGCAGGTCTGCACGAACACTGACAATATTTGTATAGTTCTGTACTAGCGTACATTAAGTACCAGAAATACTTTAGGTTGGTTCTGTATCTTAATTCTCACAGTCCCATGGTAAGGTACACATTACCTCTATTGGAGAGATGAGTAAACAGGGAGAAAAGCCAAGGGACTGGCTGCGGACTGTGAAGCCAGGGAGTGATGGAACACAGCGTAGCCAGTGTTTCTCAAAATACAGGTTAACTGCCTCGACTGTTACATCTTTTGGGGAATGCAGACTACTGGGCATCAATTCAAACTTAGTGAATCCGACCCTGTAGAAGCCGACCTGGGAATCTGCATTTTTTAATAAATGCTTCCAAGATGCATGGCAAAACTTGAGAGCTTCATTTAGGAATAGGCATTGGACAGACCTGGATTCACGCCTCCGTTACTTTACTGGTGTGATGTTGATTAATTTATTCTCCCTAAGGTTGAGTTTTGCTCTGTTAAGTGGGTTATTGTGAGGCCCGGGTGTCACATACGTAGAATGACTGGCATTGAAAAGTTTATCCCTGGCTACCCATTTCTGACAACTGAGGGCCCGCCTGCTTTTCTCAACAACTGCTGCACAAAGTCCACGCAGTAAAATGCACACACAGTGTAAGGTGTCAGAGGTGACCCCAAGCCAATAATGAATGCTCATTGAATTAAATTATCCAGGGCTGAGCCTCTAGGTAATTAATCTGCATCTGTGAGACCTAATCTTTGTGGCACTGCCAGAAGTGAAGTATGAATACTTAGCATTGTAATCCATAGACAGAAATGTGAAAAATGTGGTTGAGAGGAATTTTTAAAATTGATTTTGGAGTGAGGGAGAGAGGAAGACAGAGAGAAAGAGAGGGAGAGAGACAGAGAAACATGTATTTGTTGTTCCACTTATTTATGTATTCACTGGTTGGTTCTTGTATGCTACCTGATCAGGGATTTAACCACAACCTTGATGTATTGGATGATGCTCTAACCAACTGAGCTACCCTGTCAATGAGAGGAATTTTCTCTGCCTGATCAGGGATTTAACCACAACCTTGATGTATTGGATGATGCTCTAACCAACTGAGCTACCCTGTCAATGAGAGGAATTTTCTCTGAGTGCCGAATTTCATGAATGAAATAAGATGTATGAGTTATGTTGTTGGTTATTTTGTTATAATCTCTCACCTCTTCAGAAACTTGACCTATATTTTAGATCATAACTCAGAAACCAGTAAGGAGGAAAAGAAAAGGCCATCAGGGTAACCAAAATAATTTATACATTTGTGCAGTAAACAGCCTAACAGTACTCTAATTTCAGCTTAAAAATTTCCAACAATAAAATTCTGATTCCATTGACACATGTATCCTTATTTGGTATTGCCATATTACCAATAAGTACTCAAGGTGACTGACTTGAAATGGTGGTTTTGGAAATTGTTTTAGGCATATCTTTTGGAAATATAAATAAGGCATGCCCCACCGTTGAAATGCTTACAGGAGTGAGAGAGGTACACATAGGAAGTTAACACAGGATACGATGTTACAGGAAAAGTTACAAAGTACTTTGGAGAACAGGGCATGTTACTGCAGTGCATGTTTTAGTGGTGGTGGGTGCCAGTTGCACTGAGGCTCGAGAGAAGATGAATGAAGTTGTTCAATTTGCACATAGCAAGTTTTATTAAATTTGTCTTTAAAATAAGGTAGCTCCAGGAAAAATATTGGATCTTTTGTTATTGATTTGAAAATTTTGCTTTCAGATGGACAAGCTGAAGGAGTTTGGAGCAGTGACTAAACAAAGTCAAACTCCCATTGAAAGATAATGTGATTGGGTTGGGGACGAAACTTTGAGAGGAGATAAGCGTCAGTCACCTCTGGACCTTAGCAAAACAGCCCTATCGTTTGCTGCCTGTTAGGTCATTTTCTTGAAAGCTGTTTTTTGTTTTTTAAACAGTTGGCAGTGTAGCTGTGGAAGACCAGCCAGATGTCAGTGCTGTGCTGTCAGCTTACAACCAGCAAGGAGACCCCACAATGTATGAAGAATACTATAGTGGACTGAAACACTTCATTGAATGTTCCTTGGACTGCCATCGGGCAGAGCTATCCCAACTCTTTTATCCTCTGTTTGTGCACATGTACTTGGAACTAGTCTACAATCAACATGAGAATGAAGCAAAATCATTCTTTGAGAAGTATGTGGATTTTTATATATTGTATATATAGAATATGTGTGTGTGTATAGGTGTATGATGTATATATGCATCTGTGACCACACAAGCGTAAGATTGCAACTCAAAAAGTGCTTTGTGAAGGAGAGGTACCTCGTGCTATGAGAACCTAAAATGGGGGTTTGATCTAGTTGGAGAAGGCAGGGAAGGCTCCCAGGGGAGGTGGTGCTGGAGGTAAGATCTGAAGACTGGGTAGGAGTTAACCAGATGAAGAGAAGAGGAAAAAGCCTGTACGAAAGTTAGGCTCTGTGGCTGCGGGGGTCATGGTGGGTACACAGACGAAGGAAGGGCTGTGTGGCTGGAGCGGAGGTGGGATGGGGTGGTACAACATGAAGTCGAACAGTTGGTTAGGAGCTGGAATAGGCAGGTTCTTGGGCCATGCTGAAGGTCTTTGTTTATCCTAAGAGTAGTAGGGGGTGTTGTTATATAGGATTAGATTTGGCTGAGATTCACTGAAAACTCAAACATAATGGCGTAAATAAAGTATCTTATGAACAACAGAAACCTGTGTTAGGATTAGATTAGACTGAGAGTGACTGAAAACCCAAAAAATATAGGCTTATATATGATAAAAGATTATTTCTTTCTCTCATGAAGTTTGGCAGTTCAGGGCTTGGATGGAGCCTTGATTAGCAGGGACCCTGGCACTCTCCACCTTGTTGCTCCACCACCCCTGTCATGCAGCTCCTACCTGTGGCACAAGATGGCTCTAAGCAGTCAGACTCCTCCTTTTTCATGTCATTAGTCAATGGTCACTTCTATCCACAAGGGAGGTAGGAAATGTGCTATTTACCTAGGTGTCATTGTGCTCAGTTAACGAGTTCTATTCAGGTGTTCTGTTGTGGAGGAATAAAGAAAAAAATGGGCCCTGGCTGATGTGGCTCAGTGGACTGAGTGTTGGTCTGAACCAAAGGGTCACCAGTTTGATTCCCAGTCAGGGCACATGCCTGGGTTGGGGGCCAGGTCCCCAGTAGGGGGCAGGTGAGAGGCAATCACGTGAGAGGCAACCACACATTAATGTTTCTCTCCCTCTCTTTCCCCCTCCCTTCCTCTCTCTCTAAAAATAAATAAATAAAATCTTTAAACAGAAAGTAAAAAAAGAAAAAAATGGGTATTTGGGGACAGTAGCATCTCTGCTACAGAAGTCATTGAAGAGCCACGTCATTATTAGATTTTACTTTGAAAGGACCTTTATGCAGTGGGGAAAACAGGTGGTGGGAGAATAGTGACCATAGATTGACCAGGTTTGGAGGCTACACGGTAGTGGTTCTCAACCAGGGGTGATACTGTTCCACTCACCTGAAAATGTGTGGAGGTGTTTTTGGTTGTCATAGTGACTGGGGAGGGGAGCAGGTGACTTAGAGACCCTAAGTGTTCTGATACGGACAGGCAGTCCCAGTAGCAGAGAATTGTTCTGTCCCAAGTGCCAGTAGCACCCTTGTTGAGAAACAGGGACTAGGGTGCAGTAGTGTTGGTGAAAGAAGTGGGCATATTGGTGATGGCTTGGATATGGAGGTGAGGGAGAGGAAGGTATTACTGTTTTAAACATTTTTTGTTTATTGTTTTGAGAGAGAAAAG